AGGACTGGCAGTGACTAGGAACTTCTGTTTCCTCCTCCCCCAACATCAAGATAAAGTGAAAGTAAACAGGCACTCTGGAAAATTACTAGTGTTCTTCCTCCTGAAGGCACATGAGAAGAAAGGACAGAAAATTCATTACCTTTCTTTCTTTCTTTTTTTTTTTTTTTCCAGTTTTGCTTAGACTCAGCCTTCTGTTGCAGAACTCCTGGAAACAATTTTCTCTATTATCCTTTATCAGTAAGAACTTTTATGGTTGGCTTTTCTACTATGGTTGCTCTAAAAAGCAGAGGCATCTGAAAAGATTTTGTAATCTATCTTAATTTATATTTCTACAAGAAAATTAATTAAAAAAATAGAAATTACATATTTACCCATGTCTATTTATCTGAGGCAGTAACATGCTTTTACTGAGAGGAACCAGGCCATTTCCTGGTGCTCTTCCTGTCTTCAAACTTAAATACTACATAAATATTTCTGTTTGGGGCAATTTTATTTTGAACAGTAATGTGCCACCCTTAGAGAGGAGGCTAAACAATCCACTTTGCAACAGGAATCAAACTCAAATTCAAGCAAAATTCTCTGCTTTCTTGAAAAAATGAAACAAATGCTGAAGTAAGAATGACATTATAGTGACTGATTTTAGCATTTGTCTTAATTTTTTTTTTTTTTTTTTTATTAGTTCCAGGAATTGAACTCAGGGGCACTTGAGATCACTGAGCCACATCCCCAGCCCAATTTTGTATTTTATTTAGTGACAGGGTCTCACTGAGTTGCTTAGTGCCTCATTTTTGCTGAGGCTGGCTTTGAACTTGCCATCCTCTTGCCTCAGCCTCCCAAGCCGCTGGGATTACAGGCGTGTGCCACCACCATCTCTTTTATAAACCTGATTTTCAAGGTCAGTTGGCACACTCATTCCCACAGGATTTGATTGTTGGGTGAAGTTTTGCATGGAAGTTTTTAAAGGCTGGAACTTATGAAGCAGAAAAAGGTTTGATAAATAAGAATGTGAACCCTATGAGAAAAGGGGTATCCCCCTACCCCACCACTACCTTATCCCTGTGTAAAGAACAATACCTGGCACCTAGTGAATGCTTAATAAATATTTAAGTAAGTGGAAGAAGTGTTTTGCCTATACAGAATTTAGCTATTCTCAAATACTTTCGAAGTCATTTACAAATAATTGCTTCTTATAACTTATTTTTTTGCAATTTTTTATACCTTTATTTTATTTATTTTTATGTGGTACTAAAGAACTAAAGATCGAGCCCAGTGCCTTGCATGTGCTAGGTGAGCGCTCTACTGCTAAGTCACAACCCCAGCGCCCTTATAACTTATTTTGAAGTTTACATATGTTCACTATAAGGCATCATTTCTTCTTGATAAGAGTTAAGGTTGCAGGCTGGGGTTGTGCCTCAGTGGTAAAACACCTGCCTAGCACATTTGGGGCATTGGGTTTGATCTTCAGCACCATATAAAAATATAATAAAGGTATTGTGTCTGTCTCCAACTTGAAAAAAAAAAAAGTTAACGTCACATTTATCCCAGCCCCACCTCACCCTTTTGGTACTGGGATTGAACCCAGGGGTACTTTACCACTGACCTGCATTCCCAACTCTCTCTTCCCCTTTCTTTTTTGAGACAAAGTTTTGCTAAATTGCTTAACTTGGGATCCTCCTGCCTCAGGCCTCATAAATTGTGAAGGCCCTATATCCAAATAAAAAATAAAAAGGGGCTGGGTGTGGTGGTGCACCTGTAATCTCAGCAGCTCAGGAGCTTGAGACAGGAGGATTGTGAGTTCAAAGCCAGCCTCAGCAATGGCGAGGAGCTAAGCAACTCAGTGGACCCTATCTCTAAATAAAATACAAAATATGGCTGGGAATGTGGTCCAGCGGTTGAGTGCCCCTGAGTTCTATCCCTGGTACCAAAAAAAAAAAAAAAGTTTGGGTATCTATCACAGTGGTAAAGTACCTCTGGGTTCAATCCCCAGTATCAAAAAAAGAAAAAGAAAAAACAATGTGAAATGAAAACTTTTAATTTATAGTTCATTTAAAGAGTTCCTTACAAAATGTTTATTGAACACCTAAAACTGACTAAGCACATGTTGTGAGGGAGGCCACTGTGTGAGAATCAAATGGAGCTTGCCCTTAAGATGCTTGTGAAGGAGCTGGGTTCAGTGGCACATGCCTGTAATCCCAGTGGCTCAGGAGGGATGCTGAGGCAGAAGGATCCCCAGTTCAAAGCCAGCCTCAACAACTAAGTGAGGCCCTAAGCAACTTAGAAAAACCCTGTCTCAAAATAAATAAAAATGGCTGGGGATGTGGCTCAGTGGAAGTGCCCCCGTGTTCAATCTCTGATATTAAAAAAAAAAAAAAAATGTTTGCGAAGAATCTAACAAGACACAGACATGTGTTCTTAAGTATGAGAAAGAAGGGGAAAGGTGATCAGGAACCAGACTGAGCCCCAGGAAGGGAAAGCAATGGCATATCAATGGCCTATTGGTATCATTATTAATTAGAAAAAAGAGGAAATACTTAATATTTGTTAAATGAATAATTTATCTCTTCCTCATAACTGAGCTTAAATCCTTGAGCCAAACCTAAAGAACCCCAAATAAATAAATAATATAGTGTTTTAATGGATCAAAGGAAGAGATTGTCTCTCCATCAGGGAGGGTGGGAAAAATCGGGGTCATGAAGGAGGTGGGATTGAAGAGCAACCTTCTAGGACCAAAGGATGAACTCTTGAACCACATTCCAAGCCCTTTTTATTTTAAGACAGGGTTTTGCTAAGTTGATTAAGACCTTGAACTTGGGATCCTTCTGCCTCAGCCTTTGGAGTTGCTGGTACTGCAGGTGTGTACCACCATGCATGGCACTGGGACCATTTATCTTTTATACTCCAGGGGGAAACAAAAGCTACAAGCCTCTATTTTTTAGGAGATAGCAGAAGGATTAAAAAAAAATTCTATAGACATAAAAAAACTGTTATTGAAAAAAAAAGATAGGCAGTTGATTAGATGTGTGGTTGGGGATGGGAGACCAGGAAAGAACAAAACATGATTCCAGGTGCAAGCCTACATGACTGGGGAAATCTTAACAGGAATAAGGAAGGTGGCAGATATAGCTGGTTTTATCTGAGGAGGGGAGGGGAGTGAGGTTGAACTTAAATAGTCTCAGTTGCAAAAGGGATAGCCAGTTGGGGATGTCTAGTAGGCAGCTGAAAACCTGGTGGTATTATACAGCAGTTTGAGCAAAAGGTAATTTTATTTATTATTTATTTGGTGGGACTGGGGATTGAACCCAGAACCCTATACAACTGAGCTATGTACCTAGCCCCCCCCCGCCTTTTTTTTTCAGTATTGGGGATTTAAAACAGAAGCGCTTAACCACGAGTCACATTCCCACTCCTTCCTTCTTTCCTTTCTTCCTCCCTCTCTCCCTCCCTCCCTCTCTCCTTTCCTTCCTTTTTTATCTATTTATTTATTTTGGGACAGAGCCTCACTACATTGCTAAGGCTGGCTTTGAACTTTTGATCCTCCTGCCTCAGCTTCCTGCTGCTAGGATTACAGGCATGTGCCACTGAAATCAGCCTCCTTTTTATTTTTTGAGACAAGGTCTCCCTAAGTTGCTCAGGCTGGCCTTGAATTTGCTATCCTCCTGCCTCAGTCTCCCAGAATTGCCAGGATTATAGGTATGCGCCATTATGCCTGGTGGTGTTTTGCTTTAAAATAATGTATTTGAATAGATTATACTGCTACATTTGGTAAAGTAAAAATTAATTCCCCTTCTTATTCCTGGTGGCCTGTTTTCTCACCCCAGAGGTAACCACTAATTCCAGTTTCTTGAGTATTATTCTAGAGATATTATGGATATATATGCTTTTTATGTCCCTGGGAGATTTTTGTATACTTGTTTAAAGGCTAGAGAAGACTTGCATATCTTTGAGACAGAAGGGAAAGGGTCAGAGAAACAGATGGAAGAAGCAAATTAGAAGAATTACTGAAGCAAGTTCTTAGAGGAGGTAGGAGGAGACAGAATCAGTGATGTCCTTATGTACTTTAAAAAGCAGAGTGCGAGGCTGGGAATATAGCTCAGTTGGTAGAGTGCTTTCCTCACATGCACAAAGCCCTGGTTCAATCCCCAGCACCACACACACACACACACACACACACACACACACACACACTAATAATAGTAATAATAAATAAACTAAAAAAAATAAATAAAAAGCAGGGTGGACCCTTTTAGAACTATGAAGGGAAGATGGATGGTAATAAAGATTTCCGATGCTGTATCACTTTGATGGTCTGTTTCCTCAGTTTGAAGTAGATGGATTGCTTCAGGAGAATACAGAGAAGATATAAAAATAGTCACTGTGGACATGAGAAAATACCATGGAACTGTCAGATTGAAAAATCAAAAAGGTTTATTTTGATGATTTATAAAAAAAAATATCACCATAGCAACTTAATTTATATTTACACATTAAAAATTAATTTACATAAATATATTCACATCATCTTATATTAAACATTTTCAGTTAAAACATTACAGGTAATCATAAACAAAACATAAACCAAATTTTAAACATAAATGCCCTCAAAGTATGCTCAATAACCACAATAGATGAATCAGGAAAAATAAGATTTCAGGAACAAACAGTACAGATGATTCCATGGGCCACAGGCCCTGTGGTCTTTAAAAAGCCACTTTCACTTATTTATTTTTATGGTGCTGGAGATTAAACCCAGGGTCTTATGAATGCTAGGCAAGCACTCTACCACTGAGCTATATTCCCAACTCTAAAAGTCACTTTAAACTAACCAGAAGCTTACATGAAGCCAGCTGAAGAAAAAGAGATTTAAATTTTTTTTGTCTTATTTTAATGTAGTTAAAAAAACCATAATTTCAGAATTTATACTCTGATTCACATGAAATTCGTTTTAGTCAAGGATGCTATTATTTGTGGGATAGACTGGGCATCTCATTTTTTTTTTTTTCCAGATTCCATGAGAGTAGATAGTCCAAAGTGCTGGGAAGGGAAAGTTTGAGGCTGCATCAAGACCATAATTGTGGATCTTACTGCTCTTGTCTATTCAGGGCTTCATATACACATTAATAGCCCCAGAAAGAGAACACCATACAAAGATTTTGGCATTGGCCCTGGACTTGGGTGCTGCTTCTGATAAATGTTGGACACTCTGTCCCTGATGCCAGAGAGGGAATGCTTGGCAGCTGCCTGGGCATGCTTTACTCAATCTAGGTGCCAGGCCTAATTATACAGTGGCTAGCAGCTCTATGGAGATGCTGAAGTTTGAGACTAAGTGTCACAGAGAGCTAATAACAAATAGTTTTCATGAGAAAAGTGAACAAAAACAGGTGTTTACCAAAACCTGAGGTTATTATCTAGTTTGATAAGCAGTATAAGAGGGTTCATTTAATTTCATTCCCTTAAATGCGGCCCTTAACAATAAATAGAGTTCTCCTATTTCATATCACCTGACTTGCAGCCAGGTATCTGAACCTAAAGTTTAAAGTCCTGCATATATATTATTAGTTATTAAAAAGAGCAAATTTTCCTAATCTGGCAACTAGTGACACTTCATGATTACAAGCCTTAAAATTTAATACAAGTACATTTTTTAATATATAGAATGCTTACACATTAAAATATCAAAGGCACTTTTCAGGTTACATGATAAATAAAAGTACATTAATAGAAAGAGGATTATTTATTGTTTTCTTCAGTTTTTGTGTCCATGGTAATCACTGACAGCCCACTTCTGCACTTCGCCTTTGGCCAATAGTACAAAGAAAATGGCACCAAATACATTAATAGCAGCAGCGATACAAAAAACAATTTGCCATTCTCTAACAGTGTTCTATAGAGAAAAAAAGAAAAAAATGAAATGAAAAAATTTTGTGTCCAGTTTATAAAAAAGGTTGTATCACAAAACTGTTATGACAGCAACTTTATTCATCAAAGATATGCTTGAAATAACTCAAATGTTCACCAGCAGTAGCACTGTGGTGTGTAAGTTCAATGAAATATTATATAGCAATGAGAATAAATGAGCTACAATATGGATACATCTCACAAAGTGTTAAGCAAAAGAAGACAGAGTATATATGAAGTGATTCCATTTATATAAAGCTAAAAATCAGACAAAACTAATTTATGGTTAAAAGTCAGGAATAGTTCCTCTTGAGAGGGGTGAGGGAGGAGTGGCAGGAATATCAAAGAGGCAAAATTCCCTTGCTGAGGGACCAATGATCTATTTATTGATTGGGGAATGGCTACACAGATATGTTAATGTTTTGAATATTGATTCAGCTGTACAATTATAACTTGTGTATTTTAAAAATACATGTTATATTTAAAAAAAATCAAAAAAGCTTATATGTCATGCTCTTGAATCATGTGTTATTAGGCAAGTTATACTCTGCGTTCATTTCCCAAATTCTTAGGTGGGAGGTGTCTGGTGGATCAATCAAGTGGATCTATCAAGTCCTTCTTATCATAAGTTCAGAAGGACTCTGAAGTTCAGGTTTGAGGATTTGGGATGTTGCAGGGAGGCCCGACCAGTGTAAAAAGTTTTGACTGGCACAAAGTAGGGCATGCATGGGATTTGTCTACAAGAAATCAACAATTGTTCAATGTATAACCTAAAAAGTAGTATAAAAACATCAAAGTTACATAACTTTCTGGGTTATAGGACTACCTTTAACAACCAATTATAAAATTTTGATGATTTTAATCTAACCAGAGTGCTACTTTGCAGCATTGTAACAAACAAAAACTAAATAGTAGTACTGGCAACGTGGAAGAAAAGGTAAGGCACTAGGGAAGTCATTTTATTTAGGAAAAAAGGAGAAACATGGAGAAAGAAAGGAGCTACCTGTGACTATTATACTTGTCTGAGGTACAAAATTTTAGAAATACATCATAAATTTTAGCAACTAAACTTAGTAACTAAAATTTAGCAACTAATTTTAGTACTAAAATTTAAATACGCTAATGATGTGTCACCATTCTAGGGGAGAATCTAGTCAATAATTTTATCTTGTACCAGAAAGAAATATTTAAGACAGTTTCTTAGGATTACCTAAGACAAATCTCTATGAGGGCTACCATGATTCGTGATTTAAAATCAATCAACTGTACCAGAAATTTCATTTTTTTTTTCTTTTCCTGTACTGGGGATTGAACCCAGGGTGCTCTGCACAGAGCTACATCCTCAGCCCTTTTTCATTTTGAGACAGAGTCCTTCTTGCTGGCCTGGTACTTGCAATCCTCCTGCCCTAGCCTCCTGAGTTGCTGAGATTACAGATGTGTGTGTGTTTTGTTTTATGGATCTTGAACTCCTGAGCTCAATTAATCCCCCTGCCTCAGGCTCCCAAGGAGCTGATACTATAGAGTGTGTGCCACTACATCCAGCTACATCATCTTCAAAATCCAGCTTTGGATTTTGAACACTCAGGATTTCAGTTCAGGAATCCATATTTCTCTAGCAGAAGTGCTAGAATTATCAACAATAATACATGGTATTATACATTGATAACTAAAACATGGTAGTGTGTAGATCTAAGTTCTTGGGTTGCCACATTGCTCTAAGAAGACAACATAGAACAGTTCTGACATGTCCATATTGAGACACAGAACTTTAGAAAAAACAAGACTGCAACATGCAACATCCTTTTTATTGAGAGGAAATAGTGATGTGAGGCACCAATTCACTTAAGTAAGGAATTAGAAATGGTGAAGAGTGGAGAACAGTGGTGAACACATATGTGTCTGAAATCAAGATATTTGGTAAGAAGGTTTATATGTACTGAAATTCAACAAATTAGATATGATATTGACTGGATCATAAAGCCAAACAGAAAGTTAGGTTTTCTTGAGAGGGTTAAGTTAGCCTATTGAAGAACTTATTCCACCAGCCTTAAGATACTTAAAAAAAAAAAAAAAAAGTATCAGGGATTGAACCCTGTGGCATTCAACCATTGGGCCACATCTCCAGCCCCCACCCACCGCGTGCCCTCTTTTTAAATACTTTTTACTTGTAGTTGGACACAGTACCTTTATTTATTTATTTTTTACATGGTGCTAAGGATAGAACCCAGTGCCTCACACATGCTAGGTGAGCGCTCTACCTCTGAGCACAACCCCAGCCTGCCAGCCCTTTTTTATATTTTATGTAGAGATAGGGTCTCACTGAGTTGCTCAGCACCTTGCTAAATTGCTGAGACTGACTTTGAATTCCCAAAATACTGGGATTATAGGCATATGCCACTGTGCCTGGCTTGAGATACGTTTAAACTTTAGAAAGTAGAGTTGGAAAGAGTAATGTTTCAAAAGGCTCTGTTGACTGACCTGGCCTCATGCTGCCCTCCAGCTTTAAGACCTAACCAACCCTGGCCCACCTTGCCTCTCTGCACTTGGTGCCCTTGCCCAGGCCTATGTGTCAGACCCTTAACACCCACATGGCTTACTCCTGAGGGGCTCCTTCCCCACTGCTCTCTCTCGCAGTAGCATGCCACACTATCTTTTTTTCTGTAGCATCTGTCAAACTGCACTTTAACGCTCTAATTACATATAATCTGTAAATGGTGAATTTTTCAGAAGTATAGGAGAAGCTTGTCATTTTGCCTTTGAATCTTCAATATCTAACATGCTGATAAACACTCCAGAAATGCCTTTTGAGTAAATGTTCCACTGCTTCAGGGCTTACTGACTCACTCATAAGGCAGCACATTTTATAAAGTAACAGCTTTGAACAGAAAAATTTCCTAATGTCTCCCATAACTTCTCTCCATCTGTCTTTGTAGAACTACTGAGAATAAGTCACCATCTAGTCCTTCAAATATGTGAAGACACCTATCAGGTCTTCCCAAGTCTTTTGGCCCTTCAAACATTGTTGACTATTTCAACTGTTCTTCCTTCATTCTCACATTATTTCATGACACCTCACTCACCTTGATGGGTCCCTTTTTTGAATTATTTTACATTGCCAATTTTTATTTGTTTTATTTTATACGTAAATTACTTATATGGTAAACTACTACAGCTTTTAATACTGTGTGGTTTTGACCACAGGATTATCATTTAACTTAGTTATACTGTTCTAAAACCCAAAAAGTATCCTTTAAAAATGTATACTTTCTCATCCATTAAGGCTTATAGATTTTGTTGCCATAAATAATTTCTTAAGAATACATATTCAAGAGCTGGAGCTGTAGATCAGTGGTAAAACACCTGCTTAGAACACATGAGGCCTGAGTTCAATCACTAATACCACAAAGAAAATAAATAAACATTCAGAACTCTACCATTAAAATATACTCAACTCTGACACAGATGCATAATTCCCAAATATTTTCAGTTTATAAGCAAAATGTCTACTTACATCAGGGGTCAGGCTTTTAGCAATGACAGGCCCAACCATTCCTGGAATAGTGGCAAATGTATTCGTGATGCCTAGGAGGATACCAGCATACCTGGGGACACATTTTCATAGAGGTTTATTACTATGTTACACATTGAAGCAGTTTTTTCAATAGATTACTATTCTACTGTCAGGTTGCTTTCTTATGAAATTTTATGTTTCAAAGCAATGATTTACCAAACTAGGATTTTATATTCAGCTGATGGAAAACTTGCATTTCAATAGTTAATTAACATTCTAACATTACATAGAGGAATACAACCAGTGAAATTATCCTTTTTATCCTGATGCAGAATAGTGCTGACATATGATTTCTATACATCACTGTATCTAGATAGGAAGTTTTGTGTGTCTAGCCTATTATTACTATTTTTTTTTTTTTTTGGTGCTTGGGATTAAACTCTGGGTCTCATTTGATATTATGCCAGCTCTCCACCACGGAGCTGCATCAGCAGGTGCAGTTTTTTGGTTCTGAGGATTGAACCCAGGGGCACTCTACCACTGAGCCAAATCCCCACCCTTTTTATTTTGAGACAGGGTCTTGCTAAGTTGCTGAGACTGGCCTTGAATTTGTGATCCTTCTGCCTCAGCCCCCTAAATTGCTGCGATTACATGTATGTGCCAGTGTACCTGGCTTAGATAGAAATCTAAAGAATTTCTGCTTATATTTGAAAAATGGTAATGTCCTGTTGATTTTTTCAATTTATAATATATAAGGAATGTATGTAAACTAAAAAAGTATATTATGGCCAAGATCTTCAGGAAGTACCATCTTAAGAAGAATGAAGTACTTAACATTTTCTATAAAGAAATCTTGTTAGACTGATTATCAGAAATCTAAAGTTTTTTGGGGGGATACTGGGGATTGAAGATTGAACCCAAGGTTGTTATACCACTGGGGCACAATCCAAGTCCTTTTAATTTTAAAATTTTGAGACAGGTCTTGCTAAGTTGCTTAGAACCTCACTAAATTGTTGAGACTGGGGCTGGGGATGTGGCTCAAGTGGTAGCGTGCTCGCCTGGCATGCGTGCGGCCCGGGTTCGATCCTCAGCACCACATACAAACAAAGATGTTGTGTCCGCCAAATACTAAAAAATAAATATTAAAATTCTCTCTCTCTCTCCCTCTCTCTCATTCTCTAAAAAAAAAAAAATAAATAAAAATAAAATAAATTGTTGAGACTGGCCTAGAACTTGTAATCCTCCTGCCTCAGGCTCCTGAGCTACTAGGATTGCAGGCATGTACCACCACACTGGGCTAGGAACCTAAATACTTCTAACCTAGATCTACAAGGTGTGAGCTCATGCAAGTATGTGATAGATTGTCATGCAAGATATGTGATAGATATCTATGTGATAGATAGCTCATGCAAGTATTGATAGATTATCTATGAGTTCACAGATATGCACATGTAATATGTCCAGTAGTCCCAATGGAGCACTCTCACACCCTATTAGGTGTACTAATAATTTTTTTTTGTTTTTGTTTTTTTGGTATTAGGGATTGAAACCAGGGGTGCTCTACCACTGAGCTACATCCCCAGCCCTTTTTATTTTTTATTTTGAGACAGTTGCTGAGACTGGCCTTGAATTTGTGATCCTCCTGCCTCAGCCTTCCAGGCCACTGGAATTATAGGCATGTGGCATGGCACCTGGCAAGGAAATCTTTTTCAATGTAACATACATATGAAAAAAATACACAAGCCACCAGTGTACAGTTTGCTGAATTTTCACAAAGCAAAGACAACAATGTCACTAACACCTAATCAAGAAATAGAACCTCAGAGAATAAACATTCTTTTTTTTTTTTAAACAGAGAGAGAGAGATTTTTTTTTTTTAATATTTATTTTTAGTTTTCGGCGGACACATCTTTGTTTGTATGTGGTGCTGAGGCTCGAACCCGGGCCGCACGCATGCCAGGAGAGCGTGCTACCGCTTGAGCCACATCCCCAGCCCGAGAATAAACATTCTTAAGGGCATTTTACATATAGTTGATCAGCCTCTCAGATTGTATAAAATTTAATTTGAATAGTCATGATTTTGTCAGGTCACTCCTCTTCTACTCAGGTACCTACAAGGATGGTCTAACATTTACTTTAAGAAGACTGCGGGCCAGGTGTGGTGACACATGCCTGTGATCGCAGTGGCTCAGGAGGCTGAGGCAGGAGGCTCATGAGTTCAAAGCCAGCCTCAGCAAAAGTGAGGTGCTAAGCAATTCAGTGAGACCCGGTCTCTAAATAAAATACAAAATAGGGCTGGGGATGTGGCTCAGTGGTAGAGCACCCCTGGGTTCAATCCTCAGTCCAAAAGAAAAAAAAGAAAAAAAAAAAAAAAAAAAAAAAAAGAGGATTACAGTCTTTTGCCTGGATTTACCATGACCTGGCCCTGGCCCATCTATACAGCCTTATCCCCAGTACTGCACAATCACACCTTCAGATCATATCTGCCATATTCATCTCTGCTATCTATTTTTGCTCATACTATAAATATGCTACCTAAAATCCACACTCCTTCCATCCTAACCCCTTGCTTGGTACTTCTCATACTGACCAGTCATATCAATATCTTTATGGCTTTAAAGTAATTGTCCTAATTTGAGTTTGCTGATTCTGACTCCAGTCTCACTTCAAACTCATGCTTTATTGCCCTTAATTATATCTAGTGCCCAGTACAATGCAAGTGCTTATTCAATACATATTACTAATGAATGGTGGCATGTGACCTACAGCAGAGAGTCATGGGGCCCGGACAACACTGAATGTGGGAGCTTTGATCCATGCAGAGTAGTCCTCCCTTCCCCCTGGGAATGGGCTCCATGGGTGCAAATTTCTGATCAGGAATTTTATATGACTAGAAGACCCTGTCTCAAAATAAAAATAAAAGGGGCTGGAGTTGAATGTGGTACATGCCTATAATTCCAGTGGCTTGGGAGGCTGAGGCAGGAGGTTTGCAAATTCAATGACAACCTCAGTAATTCAGTAAGGCCCTAAGCGACATAGGAAGACCCTGTCTCAAAATTAAAAATATAAAAGGGATGGGGATGTTTCTCAGTGGTTAAGTTCCCCTGTGTTCAATCCCTTGTATGAAAAAAAAAAAAAAAAAGGTGGGGGGAGGGTGGCCGGGATGTAGCTTAGTGGCAGAGCACCCGGAGTTCAATCCTCAGTACTGCAAGTAACAACAATAACAAAACCAATCTGTGGGTATCATCTAGTTCATTTTTAAAAGTTGCTGTCATTACCCTCTCTCTCTTTTGGTACTTGGGATTGAACCCAGGGGTGCTATACTACTGAACTACTTTTCTAGACCATTTTAATTTTTTATTTTGAGACAGGGTCTTGCTCTGGGCTTGAACTTGTGATCTTCCTGCCTTAGCCTCCCAAGTAGCTGGGATTATTGTTGTGCACCATTCCTGACTTGCTGTCTTTTTTTGATTGAAGATACTGAGATGTTTGTCCTGTACATATTCCTAAATTTTGGATTTTATAGGTTACATCCCTGAAGTGTCATTTAACATAATCCCCTCCCCTTTTATTTTGATATTGGGGATTGAACTCAGAGGCACTCAACCACTGAGCCACATCCCCAGCCCTTTTTTGTATTTAATTTAGAGACAGGGTCTCACTGAGTTGCTTAGTGCCTCGATAAATTACTGAGGCTGGCTTTGAACTTGTGATCCTCCTGCCTCAGACTCCTGAGTCACTGGGATTATAGGTGTGCAATACCACGTCCAGTTCATTTAACATAATTTTTTTTATGTCCCCTGTGTTTCAGCACATTGGAGGGATGTAGCCTGTAGATGCTAGAGGACTCATTAGATTTAGGTTTGATATTCTGGCAAAGTGATAGAGGAGTTTGGTTAAAAAAATTACTTAATGGGTTGGGGTTGTAGCTCAATAGTAGAACGCTTGCCTAGTACATATGAGGCACTGGGTTTGATTCTCAGCACCACATAAAATAGATAAATAAAACAAAGGTATATAAAAACAAGTACTTAAGCACATAAATGGCATTTATTAATTTATTTTTCATAATGGTTACCTAGACATATACAAAGTCTAATCACAGCTTTCAATTTCTTTTGAAAGAATAGGTGTTATTATAAAGTAAAATTTTGGTTGAAAGTAGTTTGTTGTTTTATTCATTTATATAGTCCTTTTTTAAAAATATTTTTTTTAGTTGTAGATGGACACAATACCTTTATTTTATTTGTTTATTTTATGTGGTGCTAGGGATCGAACCCAATGCCTCATACATGCTAGGGAAGTGTAGTCTTATTGTGGGATAAAGCAATTTCTATTAGGGATTTGGATCTTCAATACCTAGGCTACAGACTATTATCTGAAATCCCTTTCCACATTTTGAATGGGAAGGTGCCTAAATTAAAAAATCCTAGCCAGGCATGGTGGTGCATGCCTATAATCCCAGCAACTTGGGAAGCTGATGTAAGAGGATCATAAGTTCAAGGCCTGCCTTAGTAACTTAGCAACCCTGTCACAAAATAAGAAATAAAATGGCTGAGGATGGGACTCAATGGTAGAATGACCCTTGGTTCAATTTCTAGGACAAAAAAAGATTCCCACTGAACTAAATTCAGTTATCTGTACACATCACAATTTTTTTTTTTAAAAAACCATACATCCATACATAATACAATACCAAAACTATGAGGCACAGATTTTTTTGGCTTATCCCCTTTAGGGAGTGTATCTTAAATTAACCAAGCTTGGCAGGCCCTGTCTCCTTCTCTCTTTTTTAAAAAAACTATTAGCACCTTGGCAGTAGGAGGAATCTGTGATGTTGCCAGGTCTTTTTGGTGACAGATATTAAGTGCAGATGAATGCTGTGAAATTCTAAATGTCAGCACCAAGAAGCTCATTCAAGTATTTATATTACACTTGGCCAGGAAGGGCCATGAAAGACTGATGACTGCTTGGAAGAGAACATTGTTGTATGAACTCAGTCTGGATTCTGTGCTGTTGGAGTACTAGAATTCTGTGACAATAACTGTTCAAAATCCTATCCTATAGGGTAGGTAACTTGGATATTTTTTTCTTCTCTGGCATCCACTTCCATTTTCTTTTGACAATAGCTCTAATTTTTATTTGATGATCTGATTTTCTTTCAATTCTAGTTCAAGAGAGCAGGGTTTCACCTGATTCTAGAACTTTGGATAGACTTCAGGAACCTGATGAATCCTAAACTATACTTCTGCTCCATGAAATAGAGTAGGTAGATTATTACCTTCCTTCAGGCTGGGTGGCTGCTGAAGTAACTTTATATTCTCTATAATTTTTACTTCTTATATTTATTTACTTAGTTTTATGATACATTTACATCAATTGAAGCAACCATGTATGTGTTTCTGCAATGAGTTCTTTCCCCTGAGTTTTCAAAACAACTACGAGGATCTCTAAACAACCAGTTCTTTAAGATTTTCCCATCTGTAGATTCAACCAAACACAAATCAAAAATATTTATTTTTTTTTTGCTCTTTTTGATGGATTATTCAGGAGAAATTTTTAGAATTAGTTTATTTGTATGTGTATTTTAAAGGTTTTTAGTGATGCTTCCCAGACTTTCTTTGAGGAAGAATTACCAAATTATGTTTCAACAACAGTCTGTGACTGGTTGTTTTCTTTAATTTTTGTCCAAACTGGACTCAAGCACCCTTTAGGCTTTTTAAATTTAATTTAATTTTATTTTAGTTGTAGTTGGACACAATACCTTTATTTTATTTATTTATTTTTAATGTGGTGCTGAGGATTGAATCCAGCGCCTTGCACATGTCTGGTGAGCACTCTATTGCTGAGCCATAACCCCAAGCCCTCAAAAATATTTTTAAAAATTCTGAACATGTACATTTTTTCTTGTCATTATTCCCTAAATAATACAGTATTAAAACAATTACATAGCATTTACATTATATTAAGTATGATAAGTTATCTAGAGATGATTTAAAGTAGGGCTGGGGATGTGGCTCAAGCGGTAGCGCGCTCGCCTGGCATGCGTGCGGCCTGGGTTCGATCCTCAGCACCACATACAAACAAAGATGTTGTGTCTGCCGAGAACTAAAAAATAAATATTAAAATTCTCTCTCTCTTCCTCTCTCTCTCTCTCTTAAAAAAAATAAATAAAGTATATGGGAGGGTGTAGGTTATATGCAAATACTATGCAGTTTTTTTTAAATTTTTTTAAATATTGTTGTTTTAGTTGTAGTTGGACACAATACCTTTATTTTATTTATTTATTTTTATGTGGTGCTGAGGATTGAACCCAGGGCCTTGCACGTGCTACGTGAGCGCTCTACTACTGAGCCACAACCCCAGCCCTATATAAGGGATTCTTTATTTTATTTTTTTGGTCTGGGGGATTGAAGCCAGGGGCACTTAACTGGTGAACCACATCCCTAGTCCTCTTTTTTATATTTTTTGAGACAGTGTCTCACTAAGTTGCTTAGACTCTCACTAAGTTGCTGAGGCTGGCTTAAACTTGCGTCCTCCTGCCTCAGCCTCTGAAGCAGCTGGGATTAGAGGCATGCACCATTGTGCCTAACTCTATATAAGAAATTTGAACTTCCTTGGATCTTAGTTGCCATGGGAGACCTGGAACCAATCCCTTCTAGATATCGAGGGACAACTGTAAGTGAGAGGCAACTTGAAAGATCCTTGGACTCTGGAGCTAGAAGACCTGATTTTAAGTCTTAAGTCTACCACCAAGTTATATCCTTCTCCCTTTATGTTTTTGATTTTGAGACAGGGTCTGACTAAGTTTCCTAGGTTGGCCCTGGACTTGTAATCATCTTGCCTCAGCCTCCTGAGCAGCTGGAATTATAGGTATATGCCACCATACCTGGAAGTATGGATTCTAGTTCAGTAGGTCCATGTTGGGGCCTGAGATTCTACATTTCTTCTGAGTTCTCAGGTGATGTTGAGGCCTCTGGTCCATGAACAGGACTGATAGGATGAGATTACTCTATATCCTCCTGGTTCTAACTTTCTATAATTCTGAAAGCTAGCTACATAATTGAACAGTATAATTTGTTTAAGAGAAATATTTTCAAGATTTGTTTCTTTGACTTAGTAGCATAAAAGAACCTATTTCAATTCTTTATTTACTATTTCCTTGAATCCATTTTAGGTAATTAGGTTTAGTTCCTATTTTATAAATTTCAAATACATGCCCCTAGTCACTGTGTATCCACATTAGGAAAGTAGACATCTATCTGCCCTTTCTCCCATAGAGGTGGCTTCTTGTGCCTTTAGTCCTTAACTTGAAGGTTTGTTTATTATTTCAAATTATCTGATTTTTCATATTATCACTAAATTTAGCAAAGTTGCCTTGAAATTACTTTGCTTTCCAAATATTCCTTTCCTTCATTGTTATCTATCTATTTATTTATTTATTTAGTTGGATACACTACCTTTATTTTATTTATTTATTTTTATGTGGTGCTGAGGATCAAACCCAGGGCCTTGCACTTGCTAGGCAAGTGCTCCACCACTGAGCCACAACCCTAGCCCCTCCTTATTATTTTAAGCTTCTTGAGCTCATATTTCATCTATATGTACACTCAATAAACAACAAACATTTATCTGTGGACAGAGGTGATGGTAGTTAAAAGTTTAAATTTAAAAACAACTGCATAGCCCCTGATTGAACCCAGGGACACTTAACCACTAAGACATACCCCTCCCCAGACCTTTTTCGCATTTTATTTAGAGACAGGGTCTCACTGATTTGCTTAGTGCCTTGCTAAATTGCTGAAGTTGGCTTTGAACTCGTGATCCTCCTGCCTCAGCTTCCTGAGCCGATAGGATTACAGGCGTGTGCCACCATGCCTGGCTTTCAACTGTAAATCTTATGTTATTTATGTTTTACCATGATTAAAAAAAAGAATTTAAAGTCAATCACAGCAACTCTTTATACTTGTACTCACGAAGGTGCAATATCCAGATGGTTGATGCTAAATCCAGAAGAGCAAAAGCCTCCCAATGTTGTTGATATAGTTAAGAATGCAACAGCCAAAGAATAATCACAGCCTATAAATCCAGCAGCTACCAGGAATACTGCAGGTCCAATCATTCCTGGAGTTAAAAAGTTATAAAAGAAAAAGCTCCCGCATTAATATTTGCTCTACCTTAAGATAGTGTAAATCTGAAATTCAACACTGCTGCCACCTAATGTAGAAACATTGAATTGCCTATAACACATGAGTGATGTATGAGTTTCATCAAAGAACAAAACTCCAAAACTGTTAGAAAACTATGGGCAGAGCTGGGGATGCAGCTCAGTGGTACAGCACTAGAAGCATGCATGAGGGCCTGGATTCAATCCATACCACTGAAAAAAAAAGAAAGAAAGGAAAAAAACATATGGGCATAATACAACTAATACAATAGTTAACCATAATGAGGTTAACCAAAATCTTATTATACAATCTGCATGTGATCAGAACTCAGCTAAAGGACTATAGAGTTAAAAAAAAAAAGATAAAAAAGAGAATGACTGAAAAGTATGAGTGCAGAGAGAAGCCATATTTAACAAGATGACTTAAAATTAGAATAACAAAAGAAGATAAATTAAATAATAAACTGTATTGCATAAAGTTAGAAAAATCTCTGTTTTTAATAAGTAAAAACTGTTATGTATAGGTCATTACAGGCAATTAGGCATAAAGTACAAATTGTGGTTGTCAGTTTTTTGGTGTCTACAACAATGCTATATAGTAACTCTGTGATAATGGAAATGTTGCATTTGTATATACTACAACTGAGGAACTTATTTTAAAATTTCAATTAAATTTAAACAGCCCCCTTAAATTTAAATGGCTAGTGGCTACTGTAAATGGCTAGTAGCTTTTGTATTGTATAGAATGGAGCAGGTTCATCCATAGAAAACTAAAAAAGAGAAATCAGGTTAAATCCAAGGGATTTATGTCATTTGTAGATATGGAGTCAAAGGAAGTAAGCAGTGGAACAGGACAGCATGTTCCAGTGGTTAGATGGCAGATGTTTGCAGAATTAATATAAATAGGATCCTTTCACAATGTAATTACTGAAGTATAGCCATCAATAACTTCCAGGGTCTCTAATTACTACAGACCTTTAAAAAGCTAAATAACTCTCTCAGATAGTTCTAAAATTTAACTTTCTGAAAAGAGTCTCAAACACATGAGTACTTAAGATTCCTTGGAGATCTTTGATTTAGAATTCATTTGTTATAATGATATTAGTAAATATTTTGAAGTTGAAAGTGCATTTACTTAGAAAAACTATTTTCATTGCCAATTATAGATGAAACAAAGTGATTATAAAATCCTGGGGATGATGTTTAGCAAAATAAGTCATTTTTTGTGACCATGAACTATGACAGAGACAACAGAAATTATAAATCTTAATCCTCAAAATGTATGGTTCAAAAAAACCCATCATGTACTAAATGCACTAAATGCATCAGAGTGTTTTAATATGTAAACAAAATAAATGACAGATTATTGTTTTTATTTTACCTTGTATTGTTTTGATATTATAAGAAGAAATATATATTTGGTCTCTGCACATAGCTCCTAAGAATTCTGGAGTGATAAGATTGTCTTTTGTTTGCTAATAAGATGACTGGTGCTACTGGGACTAGTGCCTGTTGCTTCTGGATGGGGGCTGGTGACCAGAAAGACCAGGGCATGATTAGAAGATTGGGACTTTTAGCTCTAGCCGCCTCCAATATTTGGGGGAGGGGGAAGGGGCCTAACAAGAGTTGATCATCAATGTCCAATTATTTTACTCAACAATGTCTGCATTATGAAGCCTACATAAGAGTTCAAAAGGACAAGGCTCCGATAAGCTTCCAAAAAGCAGAAAATGTGAAGGTTCCTAGAAGGTAGTGCTCCTGAAAAGGGCATGGAATCTCATTGCCCCTTTCCACATACCTTGCCCTCAGCCACTCTTCCATCTGGCCATTCAACCATTGGCTTTGCAATAGCCTTTATAATAAACAAGTAAACATAAGTAGTGTTTAACTGAGTTCTGTGAGCTGCTCTAGGAAGTTAACTGAACTTAACATGGGGTCATGGGAATACCAATTTATAGCTGATTACTCAAAAGTACAGTGTACAAGCTGTGTGCAATGGTCCATGCCTATAATCCCAGTGGCTCAGGAGGATCACGAGTTCACAGCCAGCCTCAGCAATTTAGTGAGGCCCTAACAACTTAGTGACACCCTGTCTTAATAAATAAATAAATAAATAAATAAAAAGGGCTAGGATGTAGCTCAGTGGCAAAGCATCCTGGGTTCAATCCCCAATACAA